ATAAAGTGCTTAAACCATAAAGGTATAAAACTTAAAATCTACCTTCTAGTGGTGGTTCTGTTTCCATTCAGTTATCCAGTTGCTCTTCAATGCCTTAAAGAGTTGGCCTCTCTTTCTCGGCTATTCTTGTATAATATCAATATTCTCCAAGTCGATTGGTTCCAAGCATATGGGTTTTTGCATAGTTCTACATTGCATAACATTTCATGTAATTTAAAGTTTTAAACATAAATAAATGAGAGCCTATTACCTCTACCTTATGATCAATTTGTATTGCACCAAGACCAAGTTGTTAAGCCTTTTATGCGCGAACCTATCACGCTTATCTGTCTGGATGTGTTGGAAACTGCTCCAATTCCTCTCCTAGACAACTTGCGCTACAATTTTGGTGCAGGACACAACTGCTCCAATTCCATTCCTAGGTTACTTGCCCTACAATTTTGGTGGAGGACATGAATTGTGAGTAAATGAAAATTTTGGGAATTTCCCCACCAACTGGTTCCAACCAATTTGCTGAAAATGGAAATTTAAAAGTAGAAAACAACATGATACATTATAATTTGTATTACACTTTAAGAATAACAAAGGATAATGTATACATTAATAAGATGGCTTACTGAGAAGGATTTCACCACATAAGGGGATAGGTTGCTCCAAATTGTCTCGAAGCTTCTAATATAACCACATATCTTTTGCAATCCGCACTTGCGTATATGTCTTATCATGGTATGCAAGCTCCCAAAACTCAGGACAGCTTGAAAAGTTGCCCTTGCTGTAGAGAACCTTTTGGTTAAGATAGTAAGCAGTTGCATGTATCGTTGTTGCAGCTGCCTTCCCATATATAATCTAAAATATCCCAATACTTCTCATAATGATTCTTGTGCTTAAAAGTTGCAAATTGCCTCCTTGGACTTGACCATTGCTTCATAAACATACCTTACAGCATGCCTAGAACCACCGTTAGCAATCCTCAGCACCTTTGCCAAGGGATTAGTTACTTGCAATGTTTAAAAAAATGGATCGGTGGGGTGGATTGTCCACCCCCAATCCCGGTTCGAATTGGCTAGATCGGCAATCCGGTTCGTTCTCAAATCGTTTGCCTTACTGATCCAAAAAAAATAAAAAAACAAAAGAAATACAATAAACATTAAAAGAGGCTTAATGGGTGGGGATTTAGGGGAGACCACATAAAATATTAGAGAAGCTTAAAGAAAAAATAAAAAAGAATAAAAAGGGGGATTTTAGGGGGAAACACATGCTGAGACCCATACCATTTCAGAATTGGTTCGGTCTCGACCAATTCCGCATCCGGATCGGCAACCTGGATGGGATATTGCCAGGTTTTAAAACACTATACTTGAATTATGTTGCCAAATTGACTAAAATTGGCTACCTAGAGTCGATTCTACCATTTCATTCCCACTAATCTTCTTGGTCCGTATTGAATCTTGCCAAGCAACTGATGTAACCATAACTCTCAAGCCATCTTTCTGCTGCAAATACTCTGTAGTATGAGGAAGTTAGTAGCAAATCTTGTTACTGTTGGCTTCACTAACCCCCTCCTTATTTGTATAGTTCCTCATAAGATTGAGTATAGAGTACTCGTAGGTAAATTTTGTAGGCGTCACTAACCCCCTCCTTATTTGTATAGTTCCTCATAAGATTGAGTATAGAGTACTCGTAGATAAATTTTGTAATTTCTTTCGCTTGATTCTCAATGGATCCAACATGGGACATCTTCCATGTATCCTCACGCCTCAGATGTTGTAAATATGCTGCACAAGATGTCCAAAAGATAGTGGATAATGCTCCTTTGCAACAACTGCTTCCCAAGGGAGTAGTTGGCTGTGTTATCAGTAATAAAATAGACCACATGTTGTGGCTCTACTTCCTCATAATCTCTTTAGGAAAACCAAATAATACCTCCTTAGACGTAACAATTTCAAAGGCATGATAGGACACCAAAATATTAATGAAATGCCGATCACTGGCATCTTTCCACCCATCAACCTTGACTGCATATGCATGGCTCTCCCATATCTCCCTATATGTGCCCCAACCTCTTCCACGTTCTTCTTTGACAACTAATTCCTGGAATCATGATAGCTGGGGCCTTCAAAACAGGGCCTATGAATGCCCCTGTATCTAACATAGACTGAAAATAGATGGAGTTGTGGGCATTAAAAGGGTTAACATACTAATCTGTTTGCCAAGCTACACACTTGTTTGCCCTTTCTATTGCCTTCATCCTGCCAACACGAGTCCGATGGTTGCTGGGAGCCCAATGTTGCCTTAGATGGGAAATAATACCCTATCCCACCTGGCCTTGCCTCCTAGGCCTGCTAATCGCAATCACCCTAGATGCTGTAGCAATGTTCTTTCCCAAGTACTCCCCTCTTTGATTGAGGGGGCTCGTCCTCTCCTTCCTTAATATCACAATTATTCTCTATGGGGGTTGGTGAGGGTTCAATTATTTGCTTCATTCGCTTCTCTGTATCATGATGTTCAATGCTTTTTTCTGTCTCATAGGTCAGATGAAAGGGAACTTTGAGTCATTTGGTGACATTCCCAGTCTTGTGAGCCAAATGCTCCTTAACCCGATGTATGGCTCCTCCCTTTATTGGTTGGCCACAATGTATGCATATGTTTTCTCACTTGTCTCCTTTTCCTATCCTATTGACATGCCCCCATACTAGATATTTTTTTCCTTTATTAGACCCACTCGAAGGCATTATTCTTCTGTGAGAAAATGACCATCCTCATTCCTACACCAAATTTCCTACCCCCAACCATGAATCCTAAACCCAAAGACCTAAGCCACAAAGAACACTTCACAAGAATTACAAGTTTACAAACCTACATCAAAAGAAAACATACAAATATAATTCCATTGGCCATTGCAAAGTGGAACTTTAAATTTGGATTAAGTCTAAAAGAGAAACCTATCTTTTACAGAACCCCTACACAAGTACAAAATGACTATAAATCAGTAAAAACTCCCGTTTCTTGAAAAGTATTTATTGAATAGTGAACGTGATCTATGAACTGTTTGAAATTTTGAATAATTGAACAGAAAAATTGATTATTCGTTTCTATATACCCATAGATATCAATATAAACTATAAAGAACAAACGCTTGGCTATAGAACAATTTCACGATTGTCCCTAGACTGATATGCAGAAAAGCACAAACTCTTGGCTATAGAACAATTTCACGATTGTCCCTAGAGGCATTTATTAAGTGACAACCTACAAAATAGATAAAAAACGAAAAATTAAAAATCCGAAATTGCACAAGATTTTAACTAGGGAACACTTTCCATTTATGAACATACTATATTTCTATTGGTGCGTTAAACAATGGGGAATAGAATAAGACAAGTAATTGAAAATAAAAAGCCAAAAAAAGGCAATATATGTACAGAATTAATAAAATCTACAACATAAGCAAATACTTGTAAATTTAACTATTAAAGCCAAAAAACCTTTAGAATGAATACAATAAACAACTCATTGCAGCTAATTGTTAAAAAAAAATCTATTACTGTAAAAGCTCTACAAAATGTTTTTATTTTTTATTATTTAATTTTTAAGTATTTTTAACTTTTTTTAAATCTAAAGAGATAAACCAATGAATATATCGAGTGGACTTACTTGGGTGTTGAAAATTTCAGATTAAGTGGCCAGAACAAGCTCATATAGTTGCTGGTTGATTGTCAAAAAGATAGGGCTTTTACGGGTTAGAGAGAGAGAGAGAGAGAGAGAGAGAGAGAGAGAGAGAGAGAGAGAGAGAGAGAGA